ACTAAATGATATGATATTAAAAATGATGGCCCACACTCAGTAGTTTACAGTCAATATAGTAGTTTACAGTCAATATACCACTGCATGGTATATTGGATATGTCTAAATTCATGTTTAAATATTTAGGTAAACTCTTCTCTGTAATTTCAAGCATATTTCAATTGTTCCTCTGAACAACAGAGTCTTTATACATGTATGTATGTATATAATTTACAATTGTTTATTGATGTAAAGTTGGTTTACATCATTGCATTTGTTTTAGGGTCTGAATATTTTTGAGACTTGTCTTAGGAATAACTTTAAATCATATACAAGAAAAGTCATGTTATGATTATTTTTCAAAAAAACACCCTCAAAGTACACAGGGTATTCCTGAAAAAGCGTGAATTTTTACCTGAAATTGACATTTATAATCTTAGAGCTCATGGATTTGAAAGACTCCACAATATTGCAAAAGAAAGGTTTCTTACCCATTCATTCTTTCTAAGGGAAAAATGAATTCTTCAGAAGTGCAGGTCATACATGCAATTTCAAATTTTCTAGTGAACATATTAGAACTTTTTTTAAGAAGGTGAAATTAAATATTCAGCTCAATGTATTGAAAACTCAGAGACCCATGGAAAGCTGGAGTAACTGAAATGATCATCTCAACATTTAATTCATATAATAATTACTGTGGTACTTTACTGGTTTTGGTCCTTCCTATTTGAAACCCAGTGTGTACTTTACACTGAGAATGCTCCTCAGTTTGGACTAGCTTCATTTCAAATGCTGCTTGTCACTGGTTGCTACCACAGATGTAGCCTCTTGTTGAGAGGTCAACCCGGGGCCTCAGATGTAGAAAGGCCTCCCTGTTGGATTGACCGCTCTCCTGGACCATCTGTGTGTGCTCTTGTTGCCCCAAGATGCACTTGCTCTTGGGCCGCTGACTCATGTCCTAGCTGCCATTGTTTCCTGTGGTTTGAGGGACTAACATTAGCTGGGCTCCCTGGCACTATGCCACCTTTCCTCTCTGCTTCACTTCTTCCCCATCAAGTCCTTGCATGCCACTATGATATAATTCAAAGCTTCTACGGGCTGGGATCCAGTGACCCAACCCAAACAGGAAACTGACTTTCTCATTGTTTATTTGTAACCACGAAGCAGAAAATGTTGGACACTTATTTTCAGTGCTTTGAGCTGGAACGGAATTGAAACTCAACTATTTCCACTGGGGTCTTCCAACGCGGAATGATTTAGAGGTTTCAACTGTTAGATCAAAAGGACTAATTAGAATATGAATTGTTCCTTGCTCTGATCATTACCACTGGCTGTCTCACCCTTTGCTTAGACTCTTGTTAGTCAGAGGCTATAAAACCTTGTGTAAGGTGGAAGTTCCTAAAATATTCTGGGAACATTCCAGCAAGTGTTCCACAAAGTATCACTATGCAAAAGATTTTGGTGTTGGTCTCTGTCCCAAATTCCTTTGTGAATTCCATAATATACAGCCTTGCTGTCACGATGTGGCTCTCTCCAGTGTGGCCAGGGCACATTGGTCTGTGTGTTGCATGGTGGCACATTATACCACTGTGACATTATACCACTGTGACATACACCACTTAGATACACTGTGACCACTGTGACAGACGTGTTACCTCCCTCAATAGTTATTCCTCCTGCTTTTGCTGCAATATGGCAGAACGCACCTATAACAGATGCTGCTTAGTGCATCTGCTACTATCTAGATGCTGACAATGCCAGATGTGTGCATTCTCAGCCTCCTTTGTAGTCAGGAATAGCTGTATGACCCAATTCTGCCAAAAAGACACAAGTATTTTGGTGCTTTTCTAAGGAAGACTTTCTCCTTGACAGAAAGAGACATGAGAGAATGACTCTCTTGCAACTCTGGTTGCCTCTCTTCTTTCTGCTATGGTTGTGATGTTTGTAAGCAAGGCAGCTAATTTGTGAGCTATTTTGTGACCATGAGGCAGCAAGCGCAAGGATGAATGACAATGCTGAGGATGCTGAGAATGATGACAAGGGTGGAAAGAGGCTGTGTCCCTAATGACATCGTTGAGTAGCTGCACCAAACCTGAAACAGAACTTCCTACTTTTTAGAAGATGAAACTGGTTATTTTAAATCACACTTAGTTGGGTATTATGTTACTTGCAACCAAAAGCATCCTGCATGGTATGGATGCATGTTATTTAAGATATGTTCTTATTTTCTGCTTCTTAGAAGGACAAGGTCACAGGAATACTTGTTCCTCAACCTTGTGCCTGATTACAGTTTACTCATCCTCATTACCATATTACTCCATTTACTTGTCAGTCCACCCTTAAGGTTCTTGCAAGGGAAGAGATTATGACTTCTGGTTAATTTTGGCAATCCCAGTTGCCAATATGTAGTAAATAGTTGTTCAAAAATCATTTGCAGTTAATGAATGAATGGGGGCTATCAGGAAGATATTCTCCCTAGAATTTTGCTGTTGTCTAGAGGTAAAAGAATGAGTCAAGGGTGGCATCCTGCATGTGATCTGTATGGCTGGCTGGAGGGTGGTACCTTTCCTCATGAGTCAACATGGGAGGGAGAGCAGAAGCTTGAAGTAGGTGAGTTTTCTCTTGGATGTTTTGAAATTGAGGAGGTGTTTTTGGAATAGGTGAACAAGGGTCTAGACTTGTGAAAGACAGGATTAGACAGAGAGAATGTGTAGCATGAGAAGTGATTCCCATCTCATTGCGTGACACTACCATCCACCTCATGTCCAAGCCAGAAATCAAGAAGCTTCCTTGCCCTCATCTCCCACATCAATCTATTATTTCTCACACCATAAGCTTTTCTCCACAACCCTCACCCCACCTTTGGAGTCCAAGAAACTACTGCAATGGGTTCCTTACTCCACTTCAATATCCTTTCACTAAATACATTCCAGCCACATCCAGCTTCTCTCCCTCTTTGAAAACAATTCTTAAAGCCTTTCTCCATCAGGTTTCTTCCACCAAGAGTACCACCACTCCATCCTTTGCCTTCTTCCTCCACACATTCTTTTCTTTAGGTGTATTTTTTATGTCTCAAACCTAAACACAAACTCCTCAGGGAAATCTTCCCTTACTACCCACTACCCAGTCCACCTTTGTAGCTTCTAAATTTAACTTTGTTGGGACACTATGGGGTGATTTTGCTTTTAGTGACCTATATAGGCAAATGAAACTTTAAAAGTCTTATGTATCAAAATTATTAATTAAATAACTACCAAGGATCAGAGACTCGTGATGATGGTCAAGGGCATTTTTCCTCTAGAAGGCAAGTCTACACAGGAGGCCAAGTTGCCTGTGAACACAGAACCAGACAAGGGGCATTTGCTGCTTGATCTAAATGATGAAATTTGATACCTCAGTATGCCTATTTCCATCATCGGGATCTCCCTAGACACCTGTTCTTGGGCCATCACCCCCAGTGCTGAAGATCCCTGCCGATGTTTTCTTGTAACATCAAGCTTCAGTAGTTGGCCTGCTACCTCTCAGACTTGCTTTAAGTGATGTTAACACCTACCTGGTTATTACTTAATAAGACTAAGGTCAGACATAGAAGCAATCTTTTCTTTTGGAGAACTCTACATATGTCTGTTTGGATTTATTATATTTTATATTTCAAGTTTAGAGCTGTAAAAGAAGTCTATTATGGGACTTATATCCCTCTCTTCAAAAATATTATCTCCTACATTTATTTAGATTCTTTTAGAATCTGCACTGCTGATTGTTGTAGTAAATGAAATTCTGTAGCCTTAAAACTACAAGCCTCCCAATGGTCTGTGGGGTTGTGAATGCAGGCTCAAGGAGATTCAACCCTAAAAATTAAAAGTCTCTTAGAAAGAAGTTGTCAGATAAGTGGGGAAGACTGAAAATATTCATAGCAAAAACCTTGGTCTACATTTAATAACTTCAAAACTTTTGGCAAGTTTGCCTGCAAGAAACCCTCTTGGAAATTCCTGTCTCCCATGGAACCTACTGCCTCAGTATGTAGTCCAGGCTAACCAGGTGTCATGGGTAAGAACAAAATGGCACCTATAACTCCTAAAGATGTATTGTGTGTGGAGTTTTTAGCAGGAGAGTCTCAATTTTTTTTGCCTCCAACCAAATGGGACAGCTAATGACCAAATCACTCGTATAAATTTATTATCCTGAAACAATAGGTGGGAGAGGTTTTGTTTGGACAGAGGGCTTTCCAGTGTGGCCAGACCATTGTGGCTTCTTTCTGTTTCCTGTTTGGGCTGCTTTTGTAGCATGGAGTAAATTTCCACTCTTACCATGTTTTATTTCAAATGTGCTAACCATGGATGAAAGGAGGTAGAAGTGTACTGGGTGTGAGAACAAGCGCTGTGCCTTCAGCCTCAGGGAAGAGCATTCTGAGAAGTAGCCTGACCTAGAACACTGACCCCTGATCAGGCAGTGGCTCCAGGTCATCCCTGATGGGATGCCCAGCCCTGAGGGGATTGCATGGAAGCTGCTCTCAGGATATTCATCTTGATGTGAGGAACATGTCCTGATTGGCCTGTAGTAGTCCATTCTCGTCCCTACATGAGAACAATGTTGTTGAGACACTACCCAGTGGATGAGCACATAAATCTGAAACTGAACAGGGTTTGCTCAATTACACAGCTGGTGCCATTGCCAAGGATAAGGACTAAGGATTCTAGCACATCAAAACTTGTGCTATCCATACTTTTGCGTGTGATTGATCATATACATGCTGGCTATATGAGGCGGTAGAACTTTTAAACAAAATTTACACAAAACCGACTGGTGAGTATAATTTATTTGTCATCTTACGTAGAAGTTTGTTGTACAGACACTAAGAAAGAATACAAATGCTTCCTAGGAAAACTAACAAAATACTTAATTTTATGATAATAGTAACAAAAACAGCTTGAGAAAATTAATGCCATTTACATTTGACAATGTACAATGCTTTATTTTTTAAAAAATTTTTTAAAATTATTTTTTAAAAAGATTTATTTATTTATTTATACAAGCACTGGGTACAGTCAGAAGTGCGGGAGGGTGAGAGAATTCACCAGAGCCAGAGCGGGGAGCAGAGCAGGCAGAAGGACCGAGGTACACTGCTGAGGGGAGCAGCGGGCGGCAGGAGGGGTCTGCGCGCCATGTGGGACCCTCCTCCGGTGGCCGGGGAGCAGCCGGGAATCGAACCAGCTCTGCAGAGGCTGCGGGCAGCTTCGTAACCCAGTGCTAAACCGCTGCGCCACCGGGGAGGCCCTGTACAATGCTTTAAATGATCCTATTTATAAAGTGGCGTGTGCACACAGGTGTGCAGTGCACACCCCAACACGCCACTCTGCAGTTGGACTGGGGCCACCTTGGAGTCTGCTCCACACACCCATGGCCCAGATTTTCCACCCGGCTTATCTTTGGTTATGTCGCTTCTTTGTTTCCCCTGCAACTCTGCCTCACAAATTCCCTCACAAGGAAGATTTCAGTTCACACACTGAACCTTTGGTTTTTCCACAGGAATATACATGAATGAATCTATCAAAGTGGCAAATTGATGGTGTCCAAAGGCTTTGGACCCAGGGTTTTATAATGTGAACAATGTTTCCTGAGAAAACAAGTGAACTCTCCCTGAGATTTTTGTAGGTTTACTTTCCTTTTCCTGGTTATTCAGGCAGCAAACTGTATGTTTTGCACTGAGCACAGCAAACCCAAAGGGGGTAAAACCTTCAGGATTCCGCTGCTTCCCTTCCCTGATCCTCCAAAATACCAAACTGAGCAAACTGAAGAGGAAGGTGATGAGCATGATGACTTCTCCATCTCCTCCAACATGTTCTGTTATAGAATCTTTCTAGAACTGATCGTTTTTAAGTTAAAAAAACAAAAACGGGAATCCTTTGCCTGTACTACTTCTGGTGATTCAAATACCATTGTTTCCCAAGTGAAACTAACATACATATATAGAAAAGAATTTTGTAAAGAAATTCAACAACTTCTAAATACCAGAAGCAATCTGACTGTAAGTTTCAGTGCTTGTAACATATAAGACAGCCACAAACAAATTGAAATTGTGGCTTTAAGGGGCTCTCGATGTAGATGGCTTGATTCTCTGCATTCATGACATTTCCACAATCAACTTAGGGAATAAATAAAAATAGCCATGTGTAGCGTTTTATAAAAATATCTAGGAACAGGTTAAACCAGGAACTTACCGAAAAACAAATCCATTCTCATAAGGAGAAAAAAATGACCACTCAAAATTTCTTTTGCTTATTTAAGAAAAGTGTCAATACAGAATAATCTTGACTGGTACAATCCCTTCTTCCTCCTGCAGCTCTGTCAGCCTGAACAAACCCAACCCTTTCCCAAAAGAGTGCCCGCCCGCAGCAGCAACCTCGATGCCCTTCTGCTAAGGACAGGGACCAGCTCAGTGATCGGCCTCCACCGCGTCAACCATCGCTGTAATGTATAACTGGCATCGATTTTAACACCCTAACTGCTTATCTGAGTGTTGTTGGTTGACTTTGATTTTGTGACCAGGAGTTCCATTCACGTAAGGCTTAGTTGGTGTGTAGGGCTTAATTTTTAATACTGTTAATGTCACTAGCCCATCAAGCCACGATTATCAATAAATACAATAACTAGCTCTAGTCTCACTTCCCCTTTCTGTTGGGGCATTTTAACTTCACACATATATTACAGCCGTAGTGCCAGCGCCCCAGTGGAGTTTACCATTCCATAACCAGAATGCCTCGCTGGACATGTAGCTCACATGTTCGAGGCTGAAAGAAAAATACAATTTGAGCATAAGAACAGATCACCAATGGGTTAGTATGAAAGTTGACATTAGTGAAAATGATGGTTGGCTGAGATCCTGCAGCCCACTGGCATGGAAGTCAGAGGTGCTTGGTGACCATGGCCATGGGTGGTGGCTGCTGTCACAATGGGCTTTCTACCATCCTTTTCTTGGCTTGCAGGTAGAAGATGCGGTTTTCTTCAGGGTAAGTGACTTTACTCAGAGGCATCCTGTAGATGTTGGGGTTTTTCGTGGTCATCAAGAGGAACAGTAGGGTGGCCAAGCAGAAGGGCCAGGTACAAGCTGGCAGTCCGAACTGGGGAAAGACACAAGCACACGCTTCTTGAGCTGATTCATACAAAGTGCTGCCCCTCACCCTTCAGCCCAGGGGCTGAGCTTAGTCCACAGAGATTAAGACTCCCAGCATTTGCGATTGAAACGTCATCATCCATTTTCTAGAGTTCTATCTCGGCCTCATCTTTCCCTCCCTCTCATACCTTCAGACTTTCCACACCAGATATGCCATGCTGACACTAGGCATACAGCTGACACTCAGCAAGGCACCAAGAGCTCCCGACCGCCCATCACGCCCACAAGGCCGCCTGTGATTAGTTCACCCTCCTAGACTAGATTTTGGACTCTACTTGCTTGGCTTCTTTTCTCTCTGGCTCCCACCAGACTCTAAGCTCTTGAGGGTAGGTTTTTTGTGCTGTCCATGGCAACTCATGCAGTTCTGTACATACACCATATTCTTAGTTAGAGCTGGCTCTAGGCGTGGACCTCTGGAGGTGAAGGTCCCCAAATCTCATGAACATCAGAATCATGTAAAGGAATGTAAAATGCAGATTCTCAAGCACCATAAAAGATCTAGTCTATCAGGAATGTCAAGGAACAGGAGTTAAGGATCTGGATTTTTCAAAATCTTGCTAGCTGATTCTGGCTCATGGACTGATGTCTGAACTTTAGTTGGGATGCATAGGGCCCCCTCCCATCGTGCCTGTAATGGGGCTTTGTCTCTGCACCATAGATATTGTATCTCCAGAAGGATCCTCCCATATAAGGTACCATCTTGGCCTGTTAGCAGCCATGGCACATCAACATGGGTTGCACTATCAGAAACTGGCCCTGCATCACCTGCAGTGGTGAATAAGGAAGACAGAAAAAAAGTTCAGGGCACTGGGAGATGGGGATCCTAGAGCAGGTGATACTGGGTTCCTCATGGAGGGAAGAAGGTGCAAGGGCAGTAGAGCGTTGAAAAGGAATAAGGAATGGCAGGTGCCACACAGTGATTTTGCCTGTAAAATATGAGACACGGATCTGAATAAGTTACAAATGACTGACCAGGTTTTAAAAAAAAAATACTAAGGGCTGTGAAAAACTATTGACTTCATTTAAAAAAAATATTAGTCTTTAGCCAATTATCCCTTTTCCTTCTCTGTTCTGCTTTCTCAACTACTATCTAGTCCTGATGTTCTGTTTATGTGAAAGATATTCTAGAGTCAACTTCTTGACCCTCAAGAGTATGAACATAACATATTATACAGCCTATGTTCTGCTTCTTTCAATCAAGTACTGATATTTTTAGCAAGCCTGGTGATTGGAGTTTGGACTAAAATTTGCTGTGATGCTGTAGGACCAGCAGTAGCAGTCATCACGGTCATGGATCCTGCTAGGGATACCCAGGTGGATTTCAGGATGATTTCCATATAATTGAAAACCGATCAGTCATGCAGCTGATGAAGCAAGATGAACGCATACTCACCACAGCCATCATGTGTGACAAACTGACTCCAAGGTACGCAGTGAACAGGGCTACAATAAAAAAAGGAGGAAAGAACAATGCTTAGTAGGTATACTTTTCATTATAGGAGAGACTGCTTTCTGCCTCTGGAATGGATGCTTCCATGTCATACCAGCTAGCCCAGCAGCCTGGTTACAAGTTTGAGTGTAGGGTTAGCAGGGACTGACGTGGAGGGAATAGGAATATTTCTGGCAGGACTTGCTACACAGTAAGTATTTAGTGAAGCTTGTTTTTCTCTGGTTGCTGTTTGGTTGCTGTTATTAATACTTAAGGCTTTCTGTGGCAGGTAAACTATCTTATTTAACCCAAGCATAGTTGAATTAAAATAAAACTTATGAACGTTTCTACATGTGGGGTTCTCATATTACTGGTTAATACTCAGTTACATAGAGTCATGGTATACAAACATAAGGGAGTCAACTCAGGTTAGAAGAAATTGAATGCAAGTTTGGAATTTTTCTCCATGACATTTTACCAAATATCCCTAAAATCGGCATGCAGGTCAAAGAATTAATATTTTAATTTACTTTGAGAATGAACCTTAGAGTAATTTGAATGTATGTGACTTTTAATGTCAAACAACAAAAACAAAGATCTCAACTAGCAAATGATCTGTTTTGGTTGAAGAGGGGGCTCAGAGAAGCAGCCTAAAGGTGATGTTCATCTAATGGTGCTTGGCCACAGTGCTCACAACTAGACACACTCACCATGTAGTCTTCATGTCAAGTCACATCTGCTGCCTTGGACGGGGGGTGGTGGGCAGCGGTTGGTAATGCTAAGGCCAGAGACCCAAAGTAGGGAAACCCTGTGCTTCTGATTTACTATAGACTTATCAATATTTTGCCTTATCATCTGGCTATTTTTCTGTTGAGCAGTATACTTAACTTCCTATCTGATAACCATGCTACCGGAAGATCCTGGTTTCAGATCCCAGCCTGCCATTTCATTTGCTCTACAACAAATCACTGAACTTGTTGGAATCCAGCTTCATCGCCCACAAAAAGGCAACTAGAAGACCTGCTTTACAAGGAGGGGAGGAATCTCACCTGAAGTCACATACTTCCACAGAGCTGCTGTGAACTCAGCACTGTCACCAGGGCAGTGAGACATGGCTCAAGTGGAAGGATGTGATAGCTGGCGTGGGGAGAGTGTCTCTGCTTGGATTTGGCAATTTCATTATTTTATTCATTCATTCAACAACCACTCACTGACCCTTGGCTCAATGCTGGGGACACTGTGTCCCTGTTTTCTTGTCAGCTCTTGTATAATGCCTCTCCTCAGCATACGAGACCTTCATGCCATTTCTCTCATTTTAAATCCTATTGCATTTCTGAACATGTTTGGCACTCAAGTCTCACTGGTATGCTGTTAGAATCTCCAGTTCTGAGCCACTTCTCTCTCCAAAGCAGGAGTGTTCAGATGCTCTAGCAGTGCCAATTAAGACTTGTCAGACTAGGAAAGCCTCAGAGTGGGAGCGGAATTCTGTACACCGTGGTTTGCAGGTGAGGACCCTGATGGCATGCTGGAAGCCAAAGGGCGACTGGATTTCAGTTCTTCGTGAACAATATTCTCCTCTACCAACTGCCCTGTGCAAGTCCCACTGTGATAACCCAACCATGGAAAAGATAAATATGTTCACAGTTTGTACTGATAAAATAACAGGCATTCCCTGGCTATATAGAGTCTCTGGGTTAGAGGAAAGGCAGCCTTGCCACGTTCTAATCAAGTTTCCTAAGTCCTCTTCCAGATAAAACCATTTATCTGAACTAAAAGAGCAGTTTTGCAATAAATGTTATCTATTTACTTTGGCTGACAAATAAAAGTTGGTCTTTTGTTTGGTAGTATCAGGGTGATGTGGGCAAGCTGGAACTTGCCACTGATATTTTACATGCGAGATTACATTTTTACTTTATGAGAGGGGCTGGAAGTTTGGCTCAAAAATACATATTCTAAGATTAAAAAAGACTGACAGTGCCAGGGTGGATGAGACAGGCACGTGCACAGTTGGTGGCAGGGGTAGTTGGGAGAGCCTTTGCGGGGTACATTTGGCATTGAAAATGAACAAACCTGGGATTTTGGCATCAGGGTCTGCACTCTTAAAATTCAATCTGCTTACTGTGCTGTAAAGAAAACGTTTTCTCTCCAAAGGGAGTTAGGCATGGTGGGTATAACTATCCCCCAACATGTCCATGTCTGAACCCCCAGAATCTGAACATGGCAAATGAGACTTTAAAGCTGTGACTAAGCTAAAGATCCGAGATGGGGGTTAGCCCGGATGTCTAAGTGGACCCAAGGTCATCACAGGATACTTGAGAGAAGGCAGCAAAAAAATTTTATCTAGGGAGAAGGGTGGAGGGTGTATTTTTACTTCCTGCTTTAGACGCCTCAGTATTAACTGAATTTGTTTTGTACGATAAACTTGTATTCCTTCTAATAACAAAGGAAATAATGAAGATATTTCTGCTTTGGGGAAACACGTCTGCAAACCTCTTTGATTTCATCCCTCCTGGTCTGTCAATACCTCATCAATGACTGGCCAAAACAGCTCCTGCTTGATCTTTAAGGATGTGATCAGGCCTGGACCAACCCCTTGCCCCCGCCACCAAATATAATTCTTCCTCTCAATTTTTAGGACTTATAGGAAAGCCACCTTTTCTAGGTGATGTTTCTGGGTGATTCTAACTGTAATGTCTCCCAGAGAATCTTGTAGCTGTCTTCTTGTTCTGCTCCAGACTTCTGGGTGGTCTCCCAGGGTTATTCTCTCAGACTCCCCTGGACTAGGTCTCCTGTATGCAGGAACTGTGCATACGCCAAAGCTTCAATACCCCTAGCTCTTCCTCATAGTGTGCAGGTGATATCATGAGTAGTTAATGTAGATTTAGTGAAACTATCAACACAAATATAAGGTATATACACCCCAAATAAAGGTTTAAAACCACAAGCAAATCTCAGAATAGATTCTAACCCAGCTGAGCTCAGGTGGCCACAATAACCTGTCCATCACCACCTCTTTTGCCCTAAGTTTATAAACACTGGAGAAGAAGCAAAAGGTCTTGACAGGGCTATTAGATAAAATAGCCGCATGACTACAGAAATCAAAATGATATGCAAATGCAACACCACTGCAACTTTTTTAAATTAACCATTCTACAGCATTGGAAAGCCATAATTAAATCAGGTCTTAGGAATCCTTCATTGATCCTGCAACCCACTGCCAGAGTCCATCCTGACAGTGGTCCCTCATCCCACAGTTCAGATACCTTGGATTGATTAATCTGGTGATAAGCTGACACTAGGCAAATATTTCCATTATATTAGAAACAATATCTACACATTCCACCACCTCTTTGTCGCCTCCAGAGCCTGTCATTCCCATTACCCTAGCATTTTAACTTAAATACTTTCACTTGTATTGAATTAGGGATGCCAGAGGATGTGCGTGAATGAGCCTTCCCTTATAAAGGCCTGCAAAACCCATTAGCTTTTCAAATCCAAGTCACTTGAGGGCCTGACTGTTACTAAAGAGAAGCAGGAGCATGGTGGATGCAGCTCTGAGGTGGTCAGTAGATGTGGATTCTGGGTTTGCATTTACCCCTAATGCAAAGTAGGTACCTTGCATATCACTTTACTTCTCTGATCTCAGAACCCTAAGAGTAAAGTAAGAATGGAGTAGAGATCTGCAGAACCCCTCCTAGCTCTGACACAGGAGACCAGGGTCAGAACGGATTACTACGGGAGTTTTTAAAACGGTGGTCCCCAGAGCAACTGCATCAGCACCATTTGGCCCTTTTTAGAAATGCAAACAAGTCCCCCTCCTCCAATGAGGAAGGTGGGGGCCCAGCAATCTCTCTAACAAGGCTGCCAGGTGATTCTGATGCACACCCATGGTTGATCACAGTGAATTAACTGAATTCATGTGATTCTCAGCGGGCCACATGTAGTACTGCATGATCCACCAGGGGAAATGACTGTATTTAGCTATTTCCTTTGAGTTTCTTAGGTCAAACAATTTGTATAAAGATCACAGGTTAAGTTTCTATCCCCCAAATATACACACATATTGTAAATTGGTTAATATGACTCAACAGTCTCTCCTGTCTTCACAATAACCAATGACGCAGGCAGAGCAGTCTTGAATCCTCCCAGAGGGGATGCCACTTGCCCTAGTCACAGTCTTAGTTAGCAGAGCCCAAACTAGGACCCCAACTCTAGTTTCTCATAAAGTCCCTGATTTTAATCCCACAGTCACAAACAAGCTCGCTCTTCCTCCTCCCATCCACAGATGCACAGACACTCACCGCAGGTCAGAGCCAGGAGGTGGGTTTGCCAGGTGAGTGCCATGAACATTCCTCCAATTGCAATGCAGGCCAGAGAGCTGTTGAAGCCCCAGAGTCCGAAGTAGATGTTCTCAAATGGGGATGAGAGACTCAGTCCTATTAGGCAAGGCAGGAGGGGTCAGAACTGGGGCCAAGGGCAGGGTGATGCAGGGGTTTGAGGGGGAGGGGCAGTGGGAGGAGCTTAGGAGAACTTGGAAGTAGAGACCTCAAGAAAGGACTGAGGTTCAGACATGCCTGGGAAGATGCAGGGGCGGAGGAGGGGCTCTGGGTTTGGTACTGGTGCCTGGACTACCTGCCGCTATCCCCAGCAGCGCTCCGATGGCGGCGTGCAGGCACATGAGCGGGGAGGAGAGCAGAATGGCGCACAGGAAAATGCCCCCTGTCCACGGATTGTCACAGCCATATATCTGACCAACGCCCACGGGCAGGGATTTCAACAACTGCAAAAATGATTTAGAAAATGAGGTCATATAAACAACAACAGAAACCCATAGGACACTCACAAACACATGCAGATTCAGAGACTCTTATCTTTCAAGAACAGTGTCACTAATTTAAAAAACACATCCTCTAACTACAGAAACACCCCAGTCATTCTGTTTTACTTGGGGAGATACACTGGCCCTTCCCTGGTGCATACTTTCTCAAGCTACCCCCTTCACTCACTGACCTACGGCTTGGCTGACACTTGGCTTTAGTGGCTGATAAACTCCCAGCGTGAGATCCCTGTCCCTCACTGTGAGGACGCCAGGGACCAGCACTCACACTTCGATTGCTTTCATCTGTCCATCAGTGCCGAGGCCAATACATCAATGCATCTTTATGGTCAAAAGAAGCTTTATTCCTCCCTCTCAATTTTGTAGTAAAGCTAAGGCCAGAGACACAAAGTTGGCTTATCCACAATTCAGAAGCAACTGTTGACAAGTTCATGAATCAGGACCATATCTCCACTTCTCTTGTTAACAAAAATATGCATTAAAGCCCAGATATCCTTAAAATAGAAAAATACACATGAATATCACAATTCTACTTTCTGTTTGGGGCCTGAATTCAGCTAATGTGTTCACAGAATGGCAGTTCTCAGGAAGTTCAGGGCTTAACTCAAGTTTGACTCATCCAAAAATAAGATATTTCAGATAGGTATTATTTGGTAGGTTATTTTGGGGGTATGGGAACACTATTACCATTCATTTCTCTAGAAAATTTTCTGCGCATTCCCAGATCCCCAAAGTAATCTGTTACATCATACCAAATAGAAACTTTCTACTTTTGGATAGTGGGGGAAACCTGAAATTCTTTATAACGATACTTCTGATAGCATCAGGGTAGGCATCATTATCCAAGTTAGTTCCCTTCTGACCAAGGCTATTTACTGAAAAATGCCTTCTCCACTTCTCCATAGTGCTCCCTCCAATCTCTCCAGCTCATATATGTATTATTTGTCCAGGAACTTTGGGAGGTAGTGAGCCTGGTAAAAGGGCCCAGGTTTGGCACAAGGAAATGTTTCCTTCCTTCTTACAATAAGCTGATCTAACATTGGCTTCCAAAGGCAGTAGGGTACTGCTCGGCACAGTCAGGGTCCCCAGATGGGCCCTAAATTCTTCCAGTCCATATAGATCTTCATATCTACACAAGATCATGTCCTGTTTCAGCTAGACCTGGGAACTAGACCAGGGACAGCCAAAGACTATTTAGGCTATTATTTCAAAACTGAACAGCAGAACTATCTCTGTTATAGCCCAAAGAGGGGATTGGGTGAGATGGGATATAAGTTGCTGATGAGGGGGTGAAGGTTGAGAGTGAGGAGGACAAGAGACACCCCACCTTCCCAGATCAGCATTGTCCAATAGAACTTTCCATTATGATGGAATATGCTGTGTTGTCCAATACAGCAGACACTAGTCACATGTTATTGAGCATCTGAAATGGGATTAATGAAGCTAATGACCTGAATTATAAATTTTATTTGATTTTAATTTTCATTTAAATTAAAATAGGCCAGATGGGGCTAACAGCTATTGTAGCAGACAGTGCAGTTTTAGACAGATCAATTAATACTATTTTATAGTATCATTTTTCATGGGTAGTTCTAATAAGCATTTGATTTTTTCTTCTGAGTGATTTCCAAATACTCCCATTCATTTTCTGGGTAAGAGACTAAGTAGAGGGCTACTTGAGTTTTCCACATATATTTTGATCATTTGGCAAAGACCACCCCCCAAAAAGTTCCATGACTGGAAGACTGTCTTTTTGCACACTAGGAAAATAAACTTTCTTTGGTTTTCCTCTGATTTCAAGTGTTTTCTTGTTTTTAATAACAAAAATTCCTTAAGGAAACCTATTAAATAAATACTAATAGAAAGAACTGGAATTTTATTTGGGTTAACCAGGTTTAAAAAAATATTGTGCTCTTTCTATGCACATGTGTAAAGAGATACATGGTATATATCATATGTTAATGGTTCTTAAACTTTGGCGACATCACAATTCTTTGGGGAGTTTGTTAATATAGGGCTCCAGGCCCCACTCTCAGAGAATATGATTAGGGAGTCTGAGATGGAGCTTGTATTGGTATTTAAAAAGCAGTGATTCTGATGTTTAGCAAAACTTGAGAACCCTGAGCTACTGTACACATTTTATGAGATGGACCCCAAGAAAATGCAAACGAGAAAGGTTCTATAGTAGGATCTAACCGGAAGCAGGCAGTTCTTAGATCTGAAGGAGGCAAATCAGAGGAGACTTAACTCAGGCGGCAAGCCCCTGCCTTGAGGGCTGGCCCGCAGCACACCCACCCAAAACAGGTCTGAGTTTGCAGTGTCTGACTTGCAGAGATACACTCTGGAGTCAGTATGAAAGATATGAAGCAGAGGGGCGAACAGGTAACTTTGACCAAATCTATTTAGTTGTTTTTAAAAATCCCTTCGATCCCAAGGCCTTGGAGCAGAAGAAATGCTTTAGACGGCAAGATGCAGGCAGCCAAGCCAGCCTGGCACGGAGTCCCTATCGGGCTCTGATGCCTGTGACCACTTGAGCAGGGGGTGTCTTTCAGAGCAGAGGGTGAGGAAACAGTGCGTCTTACCTTCAAGGCACTCAGGTCAGACCAGGTGACGTTGGGGACTGAGGTTACAGGTGTGAACAATTTGGTTGGGAAGAATGGATTGTAATGTCCCGTGGCCAAAAGGTACATTGACAACGCCATGTTGAAGGGCAGTGTGAAGACAGGGAGGTCCCACTTGCAGAACACGGAGCTCAACGCACTTGAGAAAATTGGGCTTGAAACAATAACCACAGATGAACATGCAGGTGACAAGCCAGGGTGACAAAATGAATCTCTGTACTCTGGAGGGGCTTTGTTTCATGAGCAAGTGTTACACTGCAAACTTACACACACACACCACACACACACACACACACACACACGCATGAACACAACCAACCCATATCCTGGGGCAAATCCTGTCAGAGAATAATTCTTCTATTTAGTAAAAAGTCAACTCTTAGTTTATTTGGCTTTTGAAAAATCACACTCAGGGGTTGCTCGCATGAGTTGTAAAGATACTTCTGAAGCATTTCTGACATGTGAAATGCAACACCAAATACATATTAGCACTCCTGTCTAACCTATGTGCTCGATGCCCCTCTCTCCCCAGCCGAAGCAACCACCACCTTAAAATTATATATCCGTTCTGCCAATATATTTATTTTGGAAAAAAAAGAGAAACAATTGTCTAAAGAGGATACAAGTGGTGTGGGCCTGAGGAGAAAAATTTTAAACTCAGAGGGGCTGAAAGGTCAGTCCTTGAGCAGTTGTCCAACGGTGTGACCGTGGGCCAGTCACACTTCTGTTTCCTTGTCTGTGAACTCGGGGTTTGGGTTAGATGGCCTCAGGGCCCCTCCTGAGCTCACTTGATGACCCCATCAAGGAGGTATCACTTTAAGGTCAGATTCCCTGAGGTGAATGGGGAGTCCCTGCAGGCCACGCTTCCTGCCCAGGAGCCTGGTCTAGCTTGTGGGAAGCTCCCACCTGAGCAGATGGGCTTTGCAGGCAGGGAGGTCTCCTCCACACACCTGATGTGCACCCAGCCCTCCTGCAGACACTGTCCACAGCAGACTCTGCTTCTCGTCTGCATGGCTCTTAATATTTTAACTCTGAACACTCTATAGTGAGGAGGAAATACTTGCCTCCAAAGAAAGACTTCAGGCAATATCAGCATAGAGACTGGTTTCAAGGACTTAGGTTAAAAAAAAAAAGTTATTGAATTCAGTTAAGTCTCTTTTTGAAGGGAAGGGCAAGTGGGGTAAGGGTTCATAAAGGCACAGTGGTTCTCAAAGTGGGGGTCCTGGGTCAGCCCCATCAGCAGCACCCAGGACCTTGTTAGAAAAGCACACCCCGGGGCCTCCCTGGTGGCACAAGGGGTTAAGTAGCAGCACTATGAAGCAGTCCGCAGCCACTGCAGCGCGAGTTCAATCCCTGGCCAAGGAGATGACCCACATGGTGCAGCAGACCTCTTCTGTCTTGCCCGCTGCTCCCCTCGGCAGTGTATTTCATCAGTCTGCCTGTTTTGTTCCCAGCTCTGTCTCTGGTGAATCCTCTCACCACCCCCAGCCGCCACACCTCTGGCCTGTTCCCCAGTTCTTATATGCACAAATAAATAAATCTTTAAAAAATAAAAAAAAAGAAAAGCACACTCCAGGCCTCACTCCCAGATGGACTGAGTCAGCAACCCTGGCCAGGGGAGCAGCAGGTCCTGCAGTCCTTCCAGACAGTTACACATTCGGGGACCACTGATGCAGGCAGGCATGGCAGTCCATTTTGGTTGAGCTTGAGAACGCTTGGGGAGCCCTGAAAACTAACACTCACAGCAACATCCCAGACCAATGACATCAACTGGGGGGGGGAGCATATATGAGGCATGTGTGGAGGACCAAATGCATCGAGTGTCTTAATGCTATTCCAACAGGCAAAATCTGAAAGCTAAATTTTTTAAAAATTGTGGAGAAATACATAAAAAATTTTAATCATTATAAGGTGTGGTTTAGTGGCTGTGAGCCCCTTCTCATGCAGAACCATCACCTCTATGCATTCACAGAACATTTTTCATCTTGTAAAACCAAAACTTGTAACAGCAACTCCCTAGCTGCCCTCCCCAACCATTGTTGTAAAATGCATTTTGAAAACCAGCTGCAACTTACCAAGTCATGGACATAAGACATACAGGGAACAGCAGCCACCAGAAATAGTTCTCCTTGTTAGAAAAGACGGCGATGAGGATCCCCACCAGCGTGGCGTTGTAGCCGTGGAGGCCCGCGGCGATGGCTGACCTGTGGATGAGGGGCACAGCACAGGGGCCCTTGTGGGCTTGCGCGTAAATGACACTTGGAGCTCCCACATCAGACTCCCATTAGGCAAGGAGATTCTATTCAGACATTTCTTTTAAACCCTAGAGCTGTAGCACACCAACACTTATAAACATGAAAAAATACAAGAGATGAAAATACAAATGTGCATAAAAAGCAACCTCCTACACAGCGTCGTAGCTAAAGATAGAATTCTAGCATCTAGGAGAGGAAGGGGAACTAGCAAGGCAACCTGTTCTGCTTCCTTTTAGCTTTTCCTTTGCAAAGTTTTTCTTTCTTTTAAATCATTAAAGGCTGCTGACTTGAATAGAGCTTTTAGATGAAGCTGTTTCCTAAGTCTGATTTTCTTGGTGCAAGATGTAAGATTCTTGAAGAGGAAATTCACTTTTAAGTGTCTTTGAACTTATAAACATTAAGGGCTCAAGTTAGCATACATCTGTCTGTGCTTCCATTTTGCTGTCTTCAAATACACATTTCCAAGTTGTTGCAGAGAAAAACAATTATTTTTCTTTTCTTTGGCAAAGTACTCTAATTATGTGAGTATTATGCACCTAATTTTCCCTTGGGTCTCTTTTTGCTTTTCAGCATTTAACTTCCCTTCTAAAAGTTGTCTTATGGGTACATTTCTTTTTCTGGCCAATGGGTTTCCATTTCACAATTGGGAACTAGAAGTCCCAGGATGAGAGAAGGAACACTTTCCACAGAGTAAACCCCAAGGCTGACAAGTCAGGCCTCCAGGGTTCTGAGCACCATGAAGGGCCCAGCACCCAAGGCTGAAGTCTGCGGGGGAGGAGGTGGGCCCACATGAAGATGGTGAGTGGGGACTGGGGTGGCTGAGTGGGGACCACGCAGGACTGGAGGAGGAGGTAGGCCATGCCGCAGGGTGGGACTGGATGGCGTGAGAGCCTCTAATTGGCTTCTGACTGGAGTGGGAGGCACCAGTGCCACAGCGAGATGATGTCACTTCCATTTATCTGGGCGAGAGCAGAGAGGTGGGACTCCTGTTCAAAAGCCCTTTGTCTCCCTAAAATAATCCTTCAGATGTGTGGGGGGTGAGGCAATGTGTGTTGGTTTAGCCCAGGAAGTAATAATGCCCTCCAGAAATTGGCTCTGATGACACTGGAGTGCTTTGCAAAGATTTACCCTCTCAACCTGGGGAGTTAATCCTTGAATTTGATCAACAGGAAATGAACGACTGACCATGTCCGCAAGTGGTGGGGTGCCCTAATGGCAGCCACAGGACAATGTGTCTTCACCTCAAGCAGAGGATTGTTGTCTTAATGGGGTCCCCTTTAGGATCAAGGAAAGAAGAGGTTTGGAAATAAACACGGGTAACTATGGCCTCTCTTCTAAATAATACCTGATAAGGAAAATGGGTCAATAATTAGAGTGAAGCAATGAAGGAGGATTTGAGACAGCACAATTCTGGACCCACCTCTTAACTGGAAAGCTCATTTCTTAACATGCATCGGGTTAGGGTTTAATCTAAGATCCAAAGTCACCCTCTACAGAGAATACCAGGTGCCTCGGACATGATGGGAAGTAGAGCATTGGCTGACTCTCCTGAGAACCTCCTCGGGGCAATTTACAGAAAAGCTGAGAGAATTTAATCATGCAATGGCCATCACTAGGGATTAGGCATCGATCCTGGACACCTTGGACGGCAGCCTCTGAAGGAACTGGTTTGTCAGGAGCCACATCCACCCCACTGGCGGGAACAAGATCATCATTTCTTCCATGACAGATCAACTCATAGAGCAGTTGTTACTTGAACAAGACACAAATACATCTGAAGTCAGAATGTGCTCACTTGGAGTTTTTCTCTCTAAAAGCTGAGCTCCTCTATAATGAATGAATTCGCTAAGTGTGTCAACAAGATTTAATGAAGGTGTTTAAACCACGAAGACTTTCATGAATTCATGTGCATTACTGCTCAAACAAAAGGCTGATGATAAATAATTAATCAATCATTAAAGAAGACCCCTTTAGTCCCTCTCCTGGGAACTGCATGTAGCTAAGTTCTGGATACCATATGCCTCCATGAGATTCTGTGTCTGTCTCCCTGGTTGCTTATTCAAGTTCCATGAATAAGCAGCCATAAATGATGTCTCTGTCTTCTGACTAAAAAGCAAACATAAAGAGTGCTATGGAATAAAGGTAGCTTCTCCTAGGCATGGGAAGAGGGCTTCATCGCTGCTGCCCGAGTGCTGGATGGTGCCTGTGTTCTCAGAAGCAAGTCGAGCCGGTGTGGATAGCCATGCCTACCTGTCCTGACTGAGCAGGAGGGCTGTCAGGGTGGAGACCACTGTTCCCACAAAGCCGTTGAGAGCCCACCAGGGGTTCTGTACCAGGAGTCCCACCAGAATCACGATTCCGCTGATGGGGTTGTTGACAAATGCCACTTGCGAGATGCCCCGAAGAACCCAGTCCATGAACTGGAGCACCTGGGGTTTGTCTGGAAGACATGAGATGGGCAGGGCTAGGAAGCGGCAAGGCGATGGTGCTCCTTCCCCAGCCCAGGGCCCACCCGAGGAAACATATCAAAACCCTCTCTGATAAAGGTAAGATTAGTCTTTGATGTTCCTTGAAGCTTTTTTTTCTTTGAACGCTTTGCCTTTTAGTGGCACCCAGTTTCCTGAAAGTATCCACTTAGGTTATGCTGTCCCTTCTAGAATGTCAGTTTCAGAAAGCATCTAACACACGTATTTACCATGCCCAGAGCTACAGACTTGAAGCCAAAGGAATGAATTACTCCTAGCAGTAAAATTTCAGTTTTTAAGAACTAGCTGAACTGAGAACGGAGACAGAACGAAGTGCCTTCCTGTAATGTGCGCAGGGTCTTTAGCTCTGACCACTATCTCCATTTAAAAAAAAAACTGAAGAGGACTGCAGGTTAGAAAATGAAAAGTTAAAAAAAATGGAGAAGAGAGGGATCCATAAAAGGCAGGGGGACAAAACTAAGATATGAGTAAAAGACGCAGGTAGCCATTTCCCCCAAAAGCCACTTCTCCCATCTTGCCAAAGGTGGAAGCATAAATACCTTTAAGCCAGTTGGAAAATTCTCTCATATCACCAGTGACATAGCCAAGCACCTTGGGGAGGCACCTTCTCCCTTGCCATGGCGAAACCTGGTTTTCTTCTGGGTCCATTTTAACCCTGGTGGGGCTGTCCTCCATGGCTGTCTCCCCCTCTGGCTCCTTGGGGAAAGAACAGAGTTTATAAACACCCTCATGCAGGACACGTCAGTCCAGCACTGGCCTGGTCACAATAGCCACAGAGGATAAGTTCGAAGGCACCTTCTGGACCATGACATTCCATGGGACTCGGAAGGCACCGTTTTCCTCCTAAAAGATCAATATTACCCAAACCCAAATCCCATATTACTTTTGTCATCACTGTCTTTAATGCTATCATGAGAAGAATCTGGTCTTTAATTTCATAAAGTGTATTTGCTAGCATTTATCAGGCATCTACATGCATTTATGATAAATGCATCAACATTAATGATAAATGCATCAACAAGCATTTATTGGGCATCTACATGTTGTACATAAAGAGTTCAGACAATAATATAGACAGAACTAAGGTCAAGGGCTTACGCTTCATGCTATGGACAAAAGATGCCCAGGTCAGTCAGGAAAAGGCCCCATCACTAATGCCGAACAATCAGAGACTGAGACAAGCAGCTTTTAAAATTAAATTTTTGTTTCACAAAAAAGGTCTTATATTTGAAGTTTTGAAAGGGAAGAAAATTAAGGTTTTTTTGTGTCAACAGCTTAAGAATGTCCTCACACACGTTCTCTAAGCCAAAGGTTGCTTGAATATGTCTCTGCATCAGGCAACTGCCTCAAACAGTATTTTTGGAATTTGTTATTTGAATGTTTAAAAACAGGCAAAGGTACAGAAACTAGGTTATGAACGATATCACCTCCATTTGTGTTCACTACAAGACCATTCAATTCTCATGATAAGTGTGTAATAGGAAAGTACTCACATCACCAGGGTATGTTACCCTTTTGACAAAAATGGAAGTTTCACCTTGTGGATACAAAAGAATACAGTGTAGGAATCCCAGTGTCGGGTGAAGGATAATGACCAAACCACCAAACCACCACGTGTTGCAAGAATAGCCAAGTGCACAGCCAGGTAAGTGTGAAGTGGGGAGCCCCAAAACCATCAGACTCCGAGGGCAGACCTGTGGAATGATGAAGCTGCAGGCAGATAAGATGTGACCAAGGATATACCCAAGGCCACACAGACAACCAGCTCCTCCCCTGGACCAGGCTGTGAACAAGGAGTTCTCTCTGCTATTTTTGGTGCCACCATTGGTTTGTTCACCATAGCCAACAAATAATTATTAATATATAACAAAGTTGTATATTTTGGTCCCTAATACTAACCAAATTTTGCTTTCTATTAATCCCAGAGCAGAAAATCAATGTGGGTAACTGATGTTTGATTAATGATTATACTTCAATTGTATTATTTCACTGCCCGTTATCCATCCTGTTTTCAAATAATGGTGAACCATTAATCTTTACACAAAGCAGAAGCCATTCATGCAAGATATTCTGGACAAACCGCATTTAGTTTTGGCAAAAATAATGTTACATAATCAGCATTTGTGTGACTTCTAATGAAACTTTTAAGAAATTGTTAAATTGAAAGCTGCTGGAGGTCAGAAACCAAAACTTTGCTCAGCTGACCCCATAAACTATTTGTATTATTAAGCAATTATAAAAACAATCGGTAATTATTTCACAATCGGCATAAGTGATGGCTATAATTTATTTTCAGGCTATAATTATTCAGGCTATAATTTATTTCCCCAGGTATTTCCCTCTTTAACCCTCGTAACTGAAAATATTTGAAAAACCCCTCCCTCAGCTTTTCAAAGTCATATCAACTAATGAAAGGCATCTCAGCCAGGCAACGACCAGGAGCTCAGGTACACCTGCCCCGAATTTCTCTAAGTGAGCAGATCAGGTCCGCCGAGGCAGCACTGAATGAAAACATTAAAAGGCACTTCTAGCACTTACAGAAGCAATTAGGTATATGAGTTTCCCCAGGGAGCAAAGCTCATGTGCGCCAAGTCTCTAGCACTGATTTATTTTTGAGGGTTTTGATACCGTCGCCTAAGAGATTTGGGAGATACAGATATAAAACTTGATAATATAACTGGCCTGACATGATATAGAACCTGAATGACCTGAGTTCCCTGCCAATGCACACTAAGTTAAATAAAGACTGAACTATTTTTGTCAGAATCCACCCATCAACATGTAGAAGGCTTAGTGCCTTTTGTCACTTCAATATCCACATATTGATTGGGATGGATTGTGGGGCTATCATGTCCTAGAGAGAGGTCTTCTTATGGATTGGGCAGATAGATGGCTGCTGCAGCTGCTGCTGTACCCCAGGAATCATTTATCCTGAATAGCTGAGCCCTTCAAGAGCCTCTAGGAGCCCTGGCTGCTTGCTGGAGAGCTCACCCAGGAGAACTAATGAGGAGGAGCCTGTGACTTAAAATTGCAGTTCACCCTAGAATTTTATCACCTTTAGGTGATTTGCATCTCTTTAGGGAATTTTAAGAACATGCACATCCTACTTGGGAGTACAGTGCAGGACTATGGAACAGGCACCACATACTGATGCTCAAACTTCTCAGACCCCGCTAGGTAGATCATTAAATTTCAACCAAAAACAAAGGACAATAAAAGGAAAAAACTCTAATGCAATAGAAGCAGGATAAATGTAAATCCCAGACTACTTTTTTCTAGCTTTTCTGGGTTGTCCGCAGCTGCAATTGTGATCCTGTGTGAAGCAAGAGTGCCTGTGATTTTCTGGAGCAAGCCCCCTGTGCAGCCCACAGCTCCACCGCTCAGCAGAACTTGAGGAACCTCCTCCCAGGCTCTGTTCACAAGAGACACAGCAGAGCTTGGAGCACAAGCCCGGGATCCCAGAGACAGAGGAGGCGTGGAAGAAGCATACCTGATCTGGAGGCCCATGGCTCAGGGCCACGTTTAGCCAGGAGAAGCCTCTGAATGCTCCCTTACCAGCTTTATTTCCAAAAGGATGTGTCCAAAGAGGACCATGAGGGGCATCAGCAGCACCGCCAATCAAAGACCGGCCATTCATTCTTCCTTTCTCTCCATACATGACAAAGGGCAAAAATACATGAATCAGCAGGACCCTCTCCCTGGCTCTCAGGAACATAGGAGAAGCAAGAAGGCTGGGGAGGAGGAGGCTGGAGTGAGCTCAGTGGGTACCTGGGACGAGGAGCTGTCACCCCGGACAGAAACCATTAAGAGGAGGCGACTTCTCCATCAGCTAAGAGAGACAATTAGCTGGTTACAGAAAATGAACATTTAATTTTGCTTGAAACAAAACCAAAAAATGGTGGCGAACTCTCCTGAATAGAGACCCAGCACACAGATTTTGTTCCCTGTTTTCTAGCAGGGGGCGGGCGGTTCTGAAGCCAGAGGAAGGGGTGGGCTTCTGGCTCCGCAGTGCTCAAGGCAAATTGCTAACAACTCCACAAAGAATTCCCCTCAGCCTTGTTCTTCACACCTGTGAGGGAGGGCAGGTGTGGGCTGTTTTCTGCCTAAGATGCTAGTAAGTCAGACTTCTAAAGCAGGCAAAGACCACAAGAGACAGTTAAATGGTAGGTTTTTTGTGTATATTAATAAATCCTTAAATATTGGACATCACTTTGGGTGTTCTTAGTTGTATTCAAGCATGGCAGCTTTTTCTAAGTTTTCTTTTTCTTATTTTAAAACTTCCACTGATTCCAAGAATATCATTCTTTCAGAATTTTCAGAAAAGTTATCTTGGGCAATTTTTCCTCCCTCACCCTTTTCTTTCATTTTTATTTTCGTCTACTGGCTTACTTGGAAACCTGAAAACTTACTCTACCGGGGTGACTCAGAAAAATCCAAAGTTGTGGAAAATATGACTGCCGTGTCTTAGAGACAAATTGTTGGCATGTGTGGTTTATCCATGGTTAACTACGGACCAGTTAAGTGCCAAGCTGACATGTCTTTGGGTGGCGCTAAATATATTTCCGTTTGATAAAGAAAAACATTAAGAAACCCACGGTGAGATAGGACTCATCTAATACAAGTTATGAAAAAAAATAAGATAAAAGGAAGAAGTGGGGACTATGACATTCCGTCAGAGCAGATGTCTACCCTTCTGCCCCCTCACGCTCCTGCCTTACCCCCAGTCACACACATCTTGAAATTGACATCCTTGAGCGCAACATAAACATATCTTAGAACCAAGAGTTGGAAACATTTGAGAGCTAGGTGGGGTTTTTGAGACCACATAATTCAGGCCTTCATTTTATAGAAGAGAAAACCGAGGTTCACAGCGGAGACCATCCAAGATCACTCAGCAGAGTCAGCTGATGGAACAGGTGAGGCCTGTGGTTCCTGGTCTCCCAGCCTGAAGCCAGGTAACTTATTGCCACCCAGGAGTCAATTCAAGTCAACAGACAATGAGGAGCAACTTCCAAAAGCCAGGTCTCCAAGGGCACTAGGGACCAGTAATACAGTGGACTGTCTTTCAGCCACCTTGAAATAACCTTGGGCTGGGGAGTGATCACACAGGCCATGCCCAGTTTCACCCCTGCCCTTGCAGCAGCAGTGACTCTTACTCCAATGAGCCTCACTCTCCTGTCTCACTGACCTATCCACAACAAAGCCTGGGGTGGGCTGAAGTGAACACCCCAAGAAAATTCTGGAAGCTGTACCCAAGGAGCTTTCATAACCAGGTCACTAGTGAAAAGGAACAGCACTCATCATCCCAATACGAGGCAATTTCAAGATTTCAATTCAACCAAACATTTCCCATTTAGGTATATGAACTAAAGCATACTATTGCCAGCATATGTTAGGCATTTGCGCATTTGGAAAGACCTGAAAGTCTCCAATTTTCTGTCTCAACTATCACTTTTAAAAATACAGTATTAGCTCTAGACAAGAAATCATTTAAACATTCATGCTCTTATCATAATAAAGAGACTTTTAGCATTAACGTTCATTTGGTACTTACAATGATCTATTCAGGCAGTTTTTGATTTAAGTAGTAGGAAGGGCTCAGTTTTCTTTAAAGCTGTAATCAGAAACAAAGAAAATGCTGTCAGCTCTTCCTGTCTCCTGAATTAAACACTTCTTTCTTCGGAACACACCGCTCCTAGGAGCCTTGGGGTCTGAATTCCACACTGCAAGTGCAGTTGCAAAGAAGTTGCCGACACGGTGGCTTCCTTGTGACCGTCAGCGCTCCCCTCCCTTGGGCGTGACAGCACACGCAGAAAGGGCCATAATTCTTCACTGGAAGGGCCTTGCCCAGTGCCCCACTCTTTTTTGAGTCATACTGAAAAGTCTCCAACTTTGCTTATTTCAAGCACACAGCCCGAAACTCCTACAGTGTGGATGACCTCAGACTCACTTCGCCACATCAGGCGGCCACCTTGCCGAAACCTGCGCCCATGTGGTGCCCAGGTGCAGCTTCCCCTGCCCGGGCACCCTGAACACAGACATTGTTCTCAAGTTCCAGGACGCAGCCTGTGGCTTCCCAAGGGCTTAGAAATAACTTTCCCGTCTACCAGAATCCTGACCTGGCTGCTGCTACTCAGTTCCCACCATCTGAAATGTATTTCCTCATAATAAAAAAAAAAAGGAAAAAGCAAAAACAGAAAAATGAGAAAGGACTAAACAGACAGAATGAACAGCGGAAATGAATAAAAATGAGCAGGGTACTCACACTCCAGCTGGCTTCCCGGTGGCAGAAGGCACTGGCTGATAAAGCCCCGGCGGCTCTAGTGAAAGGGAGGGTGCCGGGGAGATAGTGCGGGCAGGGAGGCACTGACCAGCTTTATACTCAGAACCCCACTCTGCATGTCCCTGCTCTTGGCTTTCTCCTCCCACTTGTCACCAGTGCCAAAGCATTGCTGGGGAACTGGTGCCCTGTCCTGTACCTGATGTCTCTCTCCCTTTCTCTCTCTCTCTCTCTCTCTCTCTCTCTGTGTGTGTTCTTGATACCAGGCCAAGAACTTTCCATGGTTCCGCAGAGTTCTGAAGGCTTTGCCCAGGGATAACCCCACGCAAGTTCATCTTCTTCTCCAGGCTGTTTCCTCCAGCTCCTGCCCTCACCCTCTAATATTCTGGGGGAAGGTTTGTAACTAAAAAGTATCAAGAGAGTCACTCTTTAAAACCAGAGGGCGAGGTTGCTACACAGTGGACTCCGGACCGCAGCGCCTGCTCCCAGTGTGGAATTGTCTCTGAGATTCCACCTTCTGCACAGGTGCGGGGAATCCGAAAGCCCCGAGGGCGTGGTGTGAAGGTGGGAGGACCAGGAGGATACAATTTGTGCAAACTAACCTGCCCTTTTCCCTAGTGAGGGGGAGATCAAAAAGGAGAAATGTTTCCCTGGAACGTCCCTCTTCCAGGTGAGACGCCCAGGACAGTCGGGAGTCTGTCTTTTGCTGCCCTTTGCAAGTCAGGAGGCAAACCCTTCTGAGCAGAGGAATCCAAAAATTCAGGGGGTAAACCCCATTCGTCCCCTTTCTTCTCAAACCACAATTCTGTGGCTCGTTCTGCTGTGGCAGAACTCTGACTGGGGCACTTTATGAGCACCGGGATTAAACAAACAAGCCCTGGGTCTTCCCTCCTCTGCGTCTGCAGCCTGCGCGCCCACAGGAGCCCTGGCCGCCTCGAGCTCAGCCGGCAACTCTCTGGCTCCACCCCCTGGACACCTGCCAAACCACAGGGTTCCCTGCCCTCTGGGGACCCTCCCTCCAAGCACCCCTCTGTGTGTGTCTGGGGGGGAGGCACGGGTCCACTTTCATCGTTAGAATTTTGAGGTTCAGGCAAATTTCCCTCCAATTTATTTTTTCCTGTTAAAGAGAAAATAACCTCCGAGGGTTACCCTGAAGGAGAAAAGTGAATCGCAACAGTCGGTGGGCCTGGTGTAGGGATGGGAGGAACGGGCTAATGTTTGCAAGAGCTGCTTATGTACATGTGCCACCATCCTGTGCAGCGGTAATCATGGCGGTGTGAAGGACTGTGCAAGTGGCTGAGGATTTACTCCACACGCTGGGCACCGTGCTAATTTTTTTTCATATACTTTAGTCATTTAAGCATCAATCACAATCCCAAGAGGCAAATCCCATTATCCCTGTTTTGAAGATGAGGAGATGGAGGCTTGCATGTTTTAAGTGACTGGTCCAAGCCCTCACATCGCAGTTTATACTTTGATGTACTCTAGCACCGTCCAATATTCCAGCTTCTGTCTAATGGTTGCCTTTCGTTAATTCACTGATTCACTCAACCATCAACATGTGTTTATGGAACTCAACCTGAAGCCCCCGCTACACTGCACCTGCAGACTTGTGCCTCAGCGGCCTGGTCGGGGGCTGAGAGTTGAGTCTCAAGTCTTGGCAGAACCACCTCCTCCATGCTCCTCCCTGGCCTCTCCAGGGGGTCACAGCCTTGCTTGATGGTATGTGTAAGGCAGTGCAAAGCACTTGGAATTTCAAGCCAGCCATACCTGAGCTTGAATCCTGACTGTGGCCCTTCCTGTGTGTCCTTAGGTGCTACTCACCCTCTCTGATTCCTCACTGTAAAGTGCACAACTGCCTTTGTAAGGCTGTGGTGAGGGTTTGTGACGGTCTGTGTAACACTGGACCTGACAGGTGCAGGCGCCATCATTCCAGCGTCTGCCCCTTCCACCAGGATTGGTTTGTCCTCGAGGATTTCTCAAAGGTTCCCTCTGGCTTGAACCAGGGAAAAGCCTCTTCCCGGCCCCATCAGGACAGAGACAACCGCTTGGTAAGAACCTGAACCAGTAGTTGGCTTCTGTAGTCTCATCTTTAACTGCAAGAGCCCAAGACGCCAAGGGCTGCTGCTGCCCACAGCTGTGACTTTGGAGAGAGCCCTGAGCTGGGGATGAGGTTATTATTACCCAGTGATGAGAGCACACGTGGGTGCTATTAAATAGCCCTAATAGCACAATTTAGTGACTTTTTCTCACTTCTTTCTCCAGCACCGCCCCCCCCATATCATTTACCAAGTAGCATTTGCTGAGTGTTTCACCTTCCTTCCCCCAGCCACACAAACTCCTCCTTATTCTCTGAACTCATTTCCACCCTCCAGCTGGCTCAGTCACAATTGAACATACTAGTTTTCCCTCCTCTTTTATATTCTCTATTGAGTTTCTGCCTCCAGAAAGTTCTCTTTCTATCCACTCTGCCAAAATTCTTACAGCACTTTCTTAGCTCCTGTATTTGGAATTCTAGCAGACTCCTGTCCACGGTGCATGCCTGAGATCTTACAGGCCCTTATGTCCATATCCTCACTGCCCAGGTGACCACAGTCCCTGCCTGCCGCAGTCTGCTACGCGTCCAGGTCCTACCTGGGCTAAAGAGACTAGCAAGGTCAGGGTCTACAAGTTCTCTTTATTCATAACAGATCTTTTTCTTCCCAGAAATGTTTTGTGGAAATTCATAAAATAGGAACTAAGAACTAGATGAGGAAATGGTGAAGGAAACAAAGGATAATGATCTAAATTTTTTTTTTTTTGGTTTCTAACACTTTATTATTATTTTTAATATATTTTATTTTATATATTTTTTACATCATTTTTCATTTTTGCACAATGGAATTTAGAAAACCTAAATAAGGGACCAGGAGAAAGACTAATTATAATAAAGTAAAAATCATGATCTAAATATTTTTTGTACAACACCTTGCGTCTGTAGGTATTTCTAAGTATGTGATGTTGGGCTCAGAAGTGATTCTAACTCTTTCATTTGGGTCTCTGCATGCTCTTGCTCTGTGCACAGGCAGTTTATAAATAATTTGCACTACAAGTGTAACCGGGCAAGGCCCACAGTCGGGAATTCTCCAGGACAGGCTGCTGCGAGAGCTCTCCTGCATCCTGAGCAGGGCCTTTCTAAATGGAGAGAGACAGCTAAGGGGAAAACAGCCTCAGTCTTTTATTCCTGTCCCCTCTGCAAAGGGAGAAGCAAAGACGGAGTCCGGAACACAGCGTTCCTCTGTGGTGTGTTCTGAGCTCACAACGTCTTGGTTTGGTAAACAGCCAGACAAAAAAGGCACCGAAAGAGAGCCCAATGACCCAGAATGCCCCCCGGGGGTGCTCTTTGTGGGTGGCATTCCCTAGCTGAGGGGCCAAGGGGCAAACAGGCATGCAGTGCAATCGGCTTTCACCCACCACCGCTTGCACTTGCCAGGGGAGAATGGAGATGCATGATGTCAGGAGGCATCGAGACACCTGTGTTTTTAGCTCTTTAACATGGTTGTTCAATCATTCAGCTCCATTTAATAGCTGGTTGTTCCTGCTGCACACAGAGAAAGGAGGAAAGAATCTGCACTTTCTGCTCTTATCTGATGCTCACCATGCATCACCTTCTTTCCAGCTTTCATTTTAAGCCCAAGTCAGTGTAAGGCCCTTCATGTAGGCCTCTGTTGTCCACAGCTGGGTGTGCAGGTTGTGCACTGCCAAATGCACCATGTCTAAGTGGCACACTGACATCCTAGGCATATACATATTTATTGCAACAAAACTCCCGCAGCTGGCATTAACACACCTTGAGGAAAGGGGCACTGGGGTGCCTTGGTGCAAAGGGCCATACTGGCAAGCAATGGTTCTGCTGGTGCTTTTGTTTTTTCAGGAATTAAAAAAAAAAAAAACCCTATGAGGGACAACAGGGAAAATGGTAGGAGGAGGAAAATCTTTCCGATCTCTTTAAACTAGGTTGAGGAAGAGGTTGAATTTGAGGGAAAAAACAAGAATTGGGGACTGGCGTGGCCCTGTTTTCCTGATTACCTCTTGAGAGTAATTAACAACTCATTAGATTGTTTCTTCACCTTAGATATCATGATATTGGCCCCAAGCCTGGGGAGTCAAACTTTATTGGATAATTGGGCTGGAAAGAGAAGGTAGAACGGCCTGGCACTGCTCTGGATCAGGGGCTGGCCAAGGGTTCAAAGGTCTTGCAAAGGCATGAGACCCTAGGGGTTGAACGGGATGGCCTGAGAACCTCTTGAGCAGACCTCCAGGATCCAGGTTACTCGCAGAGAGCATGGTGTCCAGAGCCAGCATTAATGGAGCAAGAAGCTGCAAGGAGTGGTGTGGATGTGTGAAAGCGAGGCTGAGCAGGGGGCAGCTGGCTCAGGAACCTCACAGTTGTCCCAACTGGAGGCTTAATGTCTGCTGGCTACACAGTTTTGTCAGGTCAGCCTGATTAAAAGACTCTTCATGGTTCTCAGAAATGCCCCGGCCTTACTTCAATTGGCAGCCAAAAGCTAGAGAGAGATTCAATCTCTTGGCTCTCAACTCTCCACCCACCCCCTACCTTGTCTCTGCTGTTGGCATCCATCAAGGCTGGGTGGGGGCCAAAGGCAGAGGGACCTAGAGAGCGAATTGTTCAGACATGTCTTAAAGCTGGACCATGTTGCATCCTTAACTTCTTGAGGTGGTAAATTGAACTCATGATTTAAGTGACCGCAGATTCATACCAGAGCTTTCACGATCCCCACTCTAATAACAGTGACTTAGGAAATGCAATTGTGCAGGGAGGCCATTATAGATAAGGAGAATTCACCTCTGACACTGCATCCTGGCATTGAAGAAGGCATCTGATTCCATGTTTTATTCAAAATTAAACGAGTAGAGAAAATGATATATATATATATGTATATATATTCAACTATATTATAGTACTATTATTCTTTGTATATAGCTGTTTGAAACTTTAAGAATGTCAATTTCTTATTTAAAATTCAAATTTTAAAATGATGATAGAACAAGAAGGGTTTGTAATGAATCACAAACCCTTGCTTTTAGTAAGACATAGCAAGTCTCAACTCTTCGTAATGCTTACTTGGAGAAACGCCCCATTGACTTTATTTCCAAGCAAAAGAAGCCAGGGATGAACTCAGCTTCATGGCACTAGTGTGGTCTTCTCCCAACTGAGGCGTTGATTCTGGAAAAACAAAAATGTGAGAAGTAGGGTCTAGACAGAGAAGGATAAAGCAGGTATCGTCCTTTTCCCACTCACCCCAACCTTGTTTATTTTCTCCCAACACCTGAATCAAGGGGCGTATTTGAGTAGAGGGTGATGATTTACCTAGGTCTTATGGCCTGTGCTGGGTGGGATGTGGTGATGGGAGTGAAGTCATAGAGTTGATCAGCCCTTTTGCCCTCTGACGCATGACATGCTGGCACACTGGCCAGCCATACCATGCATCAGCTGAGGTCACAAAGTGGGTGCGGGGCTCCTGGATGCCCAAGACTTAGCTCAGGGGATGTAGTCTTTAAAGAAAAGGGTCTGTAGGTGCATAATTAAACTCACCATGACATTGAAAATGAATTACAATCTGTCAACTGAAAAGTTCAGAAAGAAATTTAAACAAATGTAGGTAAATGATTAAAAAAAACCCAAACTTGACCCTTAATAGCCAACATCATTCAGAGTTTTGACTCTTCCCAACTCATTTAGGTGGAATATGACAACCAATTTCTCAATTTCTTATCCACATTTTTTAAAGCAGAAACTGATTTTATATGTAATAGTTTCTATTAGAGAGAAAAATTATCCGAAGGCAGTCTTGGAGGCAAGGGGGGGCACCCAGAGGTTTACTCAGTTGAAACCTGTGATTTGTGTTTCAGGAACTGGTGGGGACTTAGTCTCTCATCTTGATTATGGCAGGAGGCAATGCACCGGTCTCCAGAAGAACTTCAGGACATTTTTGGCTTTAAACAGATTGCTCCATTTATGTTTCCGCTTGGTATAGTCCATCCTATTAGTAAAAAAGTATCCTAATCCTAAAAATAAAATCCCCAAACATGGCATCTGAACGGTGACCATCTACTTTTGTGCTCCACAGGAGTTTCCTACTGGGTAAAGTCCTTCCTCCTATCATTCTCCCTCTCCTCAATCCACTGTGGCTCCCCATTTCTCTACTAACTTGGCTTTTAGATTACTTGTCCACCCGACCCACTGGACCAATGGATCACCCACTCACTCATCAACCCTTTAAGTTATGCTAAATACAGGAAGAGTCACAGAAGATGTTCTAATTTCAAGGGTTCCAGATTGGTGAGTTTTCTATTTTTCTCAACCCTTCTCTCAGCTCTTAAACATATAATGCCTCTAGTGTAGAAGAGCACAGAGCAATTCTTTGGTCTTCTATTTTTTTTTCTCTGGCGAATTCTCCCATCTACTTCCTGCCCCTGCGTATTTCATTCGGTGACATCATTTTACATTTGGCTGTTTGGGAAAGGGTCTTGGAGTGGGTATTTGAAGGTGCTGCTCTGATGAGACTGGTACTTCAGCACCAGCTTTTCAATGGCCTCGCTTATTAAAAGGGAGTGGTCCTACTCCCTCCTCCCCACCCCCCAGCGTGTTCTCTGGTTTATAGTTGCTTGTTGATTTTGATTTTTACTTTATTATAATTAGTCTTTTTGGTGGGAATTGCATGGGGACTATAACCAAGACGAAAATGCAAACATTGTGCAAAAATGAAAAATGATGTAAGAATTATATAAAATAAAAAAATGTAAAAAACAAAATAAATAGGGCGTGGGACTGATCAGAGCTCTGTCTGCACATTGGAATTAACTGGGGGGAGGAGAGGCTTTTAAAAACTGCTTTATCTAGAGAATCTGATGTAATTGGTTAGGAGTGTGGGAGTTTTAAACCTTCTTGGTGATTCTAACATGCAGAACCATTGGGCTTTCCCTAATCCTGACTCCTCACCCTCCAGAATGAGCAAGTGTGCCATAGGGGGATAAGATGGATTTTGGAGTTTGACAGAGGCGGTTGAAACCGCAGCCAGCTAGAAACCCCTGAGGAAAATTACTTCATTTTTCCAACCCATAATTCCATTATGAAATTAATGAGGTTAGTAATACCCACCTTGCCAGATGTAAACATCAAACCAGATCATGGCACATGATAGGCATTCAAGCAAATGAAACCTTTATTATTATTCCTCCTAAAACAGCTCCTATCTCCAACTTCCTTCTTGCATTGTTATCCCAGTTCTTAGGCTCAACAGATTCTTGCGGAGTGAATATTAGATGGTGCCTCTGCCCATCCTCACTCATGAAGTTTCATTTCATTCACTCTTGCTAATGGTCTCAAGTCCTATTTCAAAGTGTGGTCCCCAGACCAGCAGCATCTACTCCCTGGGAACTTGTTTAGAAATGAGGACGCTCAACCCCACCCAGACCTTCAGAATCAGGCTTTGCATTTTAAGCAGATCCCCAGGGGGTTTGCTTGCACATTCAAGTTTGAGAAGCACTGCACCTCTCTGAAGCATCCGCGTCCTTGACCTTGGTGAAAAGGGATGAATTCAAGCTCCTGGAGTGGCGACAGTTTGAGAATTCCTGTGTCGTGGTTGGCGATGTCATGGTGAGCCCCAGTGAGTCACGGTGGCGTTCCAGTTGGCAGACATGAGCGTGCTGTCACACGCTGGGCCCTGCCGGTGGAAGGCAGTGTTCTCGGAGAAGCCTCACCATCCCATTGGAATCCATCAAGCCTCCATCGGGTCGCACCCTCTGCCTGGTGCTAATTGCTTCACATGGGCTGGGTGGGTGGGTGCCTCATCAATCACCGTAGCAGATTATCGCAGGTCACGGAGGTGCTGTCTGCACGCACAGGGCAGGCCCCTTCCTGCAGGCTCCTCTCCTCCAGCCAGAGGGCTCTGCGTGCTGCCCACTAGGGCCCTCCCTCCCCTCCCCCGCCCCACCCCATTGGCACTTTAAGCATAAGTTTCCAATTCTAAGCAAGTGATTTATTTATTTTCCCCACCCCACCATCCCCTGCATCCCCTATCCTTTCCCCTGCCCTCTTAACCTCAGCCCTGGGGATCTTTGTTGATATCCAGTAGTTTTGGAGTGTTTTATATTGTCAAATTGTCTGCTATATGAATGACCAATATTTGTGTTTAGTGTTCTGACTTGCTTTGCTGCCCTTACTTTTTTCAAAATCCCTTCATTTTGTTGAAAATGGCAGCGTTTCATCCTGGCTATGTAACATTCCACGCGTGTATGTACCACATCTTTTTTTAAAAATTATTTTATTTTTATATTCCCCATACAATTGCAACCCCCTGATTTTGACCCCAAACCCTCCTTTCCCCGCCCTCCCCCAAAGTGTGTCTATGGTTCATAGTTGTTTGTTGATTTTGATTTTTTTCTTTCTTATATTCTTTTTCCTGGTCCATATTTAGGTTTTCTAGATTCCTGCTATGAGTGAGACCATCTGGTATTTTTCTTTTTCTTTCTGGCTTATTTCGCTGAGCATGATCCCTTCCGGCGCCATCCATGTTGCTGCAAATGGCATGTGTTTATCTTTTTTGAATGCTGAGTAATATTCCATGGTGTATATGTACCACATCTTCTTGATCCAGTCATCTATTTTTGGGCATTTGGGTTGTTTCCAAAGCTTAGCTATTGTAAACAGTGCTGCTATAAACACAGGGGTGCAGGTGTTCTTTGGAATTGATGTTTCTGTGTCCTTTGGGTAAATACCTAGGAGTGGAATTGCTGGATCATATGGAAGCTCTATCTTTAGTAGGTTGAGGAATCTCCACACAGCTTTCCATAGTTGTACCACATCTTTTTGATCCGTTCATCTATCAAAGGAGATGGAGGCTGCTTCTGTGTCCTGGCTATTGTCAGTTATGCTGCTCTGAACATTGTGAACATACAGGCTTTGTTGGGCAGTGTCCTAGGAGAAGCCTCACCAGCGCATTGGACTCCTTCAGGCCTCCATCGGGTCCCACCCTCTGATTGTTTTATATTCTGTGGCTACAAGCTCAACAGGGGGGTTGCGGGGTTGTGCCATATTTCTATATTTAATTTTAATAGGTAAATCCAGATTGCTTTCCATAATAGCTACACCGGGAACTACTTTTCATAGCCTATGCTACAACAGACATATTAAATTCACTTTTCAAAATTCATCTGCCTTAACATTTGTGATCCATTCTACCCAGGAGCAGGGAGGGTGAATGGTCCCCCCTTAAGACTCACTGTTAAAGTGAAGGTGATTCCTGGGGCCCGGGCTGCCATATTGGCAGTCATCTCCCAGAGTATTTTTCTCTCACAGTGTTACTTTATTAGTAATTCTGTAATTATGTGCCTATTTGCTCATGGAGTTCACCCACTAGATGAACTCTTGAGGGCAGGAGTCTGGGCTGGTCTCATTCTGCACTGTAGTTCCAGCTTTGGGCTCAGCGTCTGGCTCATAGGGATCCTTAGTAGCCATTTGCTGAGTATACGGGTGAACAAACTGATGAGTGACACTGCAGTTACTTGAAGGGCCAGGGCAAGTTCTTGGGCAGTGCTGAGACAGGGGTATGTATCTTTGGTGCAGCAAGCAGGTGTGGGTAGACCTGCTCTCAGAGCAGGGCCAGCACTAGGACTGGGGCCTGTAGTCCAGGGGGACGGGCCCAGCCTCTGGAGGACAGAGGATGGCCCTCATCTGTCTATTCCTGCCACTGCTCAATCAGCCTTAGGAGCAAGCACTGGCACTTGGCCTGCTCCATGATTAGAGGCTTTGGTTTGCCTCTAGGACTGTCCTGAAACTGAGGAGGACTGAACCCCAGCTCCAGGTGAGTGGGCTGGCCTGTTCCATGGGCACCTGTGCCATTCTGAGGTGGGCAAGCAAAATGCAGCCTGTATCTTTAGGGCCTTCTGGATGGAGATCAATGCGGATCACATAAGACAGTCCCACCCTAGCTGCCAGGCCTGGCTCAACCCAAGCCCAGAGTTCTAGGCTCTCCAAGATTGGGAATGGGATATGGCCAGGTCCCCTCCCCATGCAACCCAAGGTCATAGGTTGTAATCTCAAGCTGCCTTGGCCAGTCACTGCACTCCTGCTGACCAGGGGCTCAGCATCTTCACTCAGGCTGCAGGTCACTCACAACTTTCCCTCCTACTGCTTATTGAGGAAAGTCCCCAGAAATGCTAGGGGATGGTGTGAGCAATGAGGCAGTTCTCACATCCTCTTGCAGCAACAAGACCCCAATGAGCATTCATGTCAAGGTTAAGGCCATATGTACATGATCAGTGGTTATGCTGTGGGCAGAGAGGTGCTTTTTCCTTAGCACAGATAGTTTTGTCACATCATCAGCCAATGGAGGAGCACATCAGGCAGTCCTCCAGGGAGCGACAGGATGCCTGTCAAGATTCATCAACAACTGTC